GAGAAGTCATTAGTGATAACCTGAGACCCTTGATAGCCCTGCGTTTGTTTAGAAAGAATCCGAGAAATGAGGTAACCCAATTGATACTCGAAAGTAGCGTGTAACCATTGAAGTAGCATCCAGAAAGGATCCGAGAGAAGTAAATATTTATCATTGTCAGGAAGGGATTTTAACTGAGAAGAGGCTTCACCTAAATCATGGTATAAACATGTTAACAAAAGCTTACCCAAAGATATGTTGATTCCTTCATGAAGTTGGATGGATAGCGGCGTAAGACTCAAGGATGGCACTCCTAGACGTAACAGAAAATAGGAGAGCCAGAGGTTGAGGAAAGCAATGTGTTCACTGTCAGTAACATTCGTTTAGTCGATAGCATGGTGGGTAACTATGTAAGGAGTGAAATCTTCGTAGTCAAATTGAAGTGAATGTTGAGTCGATATTGATGGGTCAAAAGTCTCGCTCAGAGGTGAAAGCCTGGTGATTGTTGCGACGTCAACAAGGTAGGCATTAACATCCCACATGGAAACTGGAAGGTGTTGATCGAGCCTTCCCAGAAAAAGAGTGAGGGCAAAATAAAATTAAGATTGACTCCAGGGGCCCTCCTCGACAATTGGATTACGTCGAAAATACCATTGTTTTTCCATTGAGTTTGTTATTGTTCTTGGACTCTGTTAAGCCAAATTACATAAGCTTCATGATCAGATAAAAACATTAAACGACATACCTTGGTCGTTTGATCCATAAACCTAACGCTAATGGGTTTTAATTTGTTGAAAGTAGAAGGGATAGTGGTGTGAAAATAAGGGAAATATGTGTGAACCTTCTTAGGGTGTCTCTCATGGGTTGAATATAGTCTGTGGAATGCGAAAAGTTACTCTGAAATAGCAAATGAGATTAGCATTTTTTGTTGTCATTTTTTCATCTTTGATTTTACGACAGAAGATGGATGAGGGATGAATTCCAAACTTTCTTCTTTAGAGAGGGAAAAAGCTATGGGATTATTGCCTGTGTGAAAAGGAGTACGTGAAGCATCAACCATTTTTAGGAAATGAGGATTTGTTCTCTCACGGGTTCCGCAAATCATGGAAGAAGAAAGCTAACAACAGTAGGCGCGAAAGGAAATTTATATAGGCGTGTGAAGTTTGTTAGCCATGGACAAGTGACACTCTTTAGTTAGCTGTGAGCGAACACTAAGCCCAAAAGTGGAAAGTTTAGTAGGGTTTGTTGAAATCCCATATCTTGGAAACTAGGAGCCATTATGAGAAATTATGGATTGACATGGGGAATAATGGCGCAAAAAGTGGTAATCATGATGTGTGACGTCACTTGAAAACACAAGCGGTTGAAAATTCAAAAGTTGAAAACGCCAAGGGTCTTACTCAATAGGATCTCTAGTGAAACTTGGCCTTTTGGGGGGCAATTTATTGCAAGCAAATTTTCGACTTAATTATTAGGCCACATGTTAGGTGATATCCTTCGTCAAAGAAGAGCATCAATAAGGAGCTATGGGCATGTCGACAGGATTTCAGGGATTACACCCAAAAAAGCGGTCGACGAGATAGTATCAAGAGCGAAGCAAAGTCGGTGACGACCAGGAAGGTCGAGAGCAAAAGCAGATGGCGGTAAAAGCGGTTATCAATAATAAGTGTTGAGTGAGACGTGGAAGTTTCAAAAGTAGTGTCGCACGAACCGTCAACATGAGTGGCTTAAGTAACCGTCAACAATTACATTTTTAACATCTATAAATTATTACATTCGTTTCAGAGGTCTCATTTTGTAACATTGTAAGAGAGCACTCAAAGTACCAGCACATAGAGAAATGAGACAGTTCTTAAAATGTACGATTGCGCCCACCTTTAAATTCAAAACACTTTTATCTTTACAAAGTCTTGTTTATTTTCTACGATCTTGCAATTTATCTACCATTTACTTTTCTTTGTTTTCTTATTTGTGCTCTTCGCGCCTTGATCTTGTCAAGCACCTAAATACTATAAAACTTAACACGATAGTCTAGAATTTTTGTAGCTGGTCCTATAAGTAACCTTTAATTAAGAGGTTAGAGATTGTTCGCGAGAAACTCCTGCGAACAGTGTTATTAATGAATTTGGTATAAATATAATTATCTAAAAATTCAAATGTTAATAATGACTCACATAAGCATTTTAAAATTTGACAAGTCAGTTGGATTAGATTATCCAACTTTTTAAAGAGGGTACTCCCTCTATTCTTATTTATAAGGAAATTTTGACTTTTTAGATTTATTAAATAAGTGATGTATTTGGTCTATATATAGGTTAAATACATCAATTATTCAATGAATCTAAAAAGTTAAAATTTGCTTATAAATAAGAATAGATGGAGTAGATAAGAATTCACTTTCTTCCTTCTTGTTATTAGATGTTGAATGACTTATATCCTCATTTTATACCTTACTAGTAAGAAACTCGTGTTGTCGCACGAGTCCCGTCTAAATTCATATTACATGTATATCAAATCATCATTTGTAAAATTTGAATTCATTCTTCAATTGGTTAACATTGACATAATTACAAATAATGCTAATAATATGCACCAACTTTTAAGCATTGATTCATAGTTACAATAAACCGTACAACCGATTCTCTAACTTCAATTATATAAAACAACAACAAGAGAAATATTTAAAAGATAGACATTAAAATGATCAGTCAATAGCTGACATTTCAAAGATACGTTCGCATCTACCCGTCAATCTAAAAATTTATTAAACCTATTTTAGATATTAGTCCATTTTTCTAAATCTAAAATGTATGACAACTCCCGTCAAATACTTAAAAGTTTCTACGTCTAATGTATATTATTATAATAATTACAATTAATGAATATTATTTTCTATGTTTTTATAAAGAGACAAAATTTATTTTTATGCGGTGATAAAACAATATGTTATGTGTACTAATTAAATAAAACGATAATACATAATTGTAGAAATATAAAAAGAATAATAAATTTATCTTTTTCATAACAAATTTATGTATTTTTCTATCATTATTGTCTCATATTCTTTTATCATACGCTAATATTTATAACATTTTTTTAGTATAAATGATAACGTTTCATCATAAAAAAATACTAACATTTTTTGATAAATTATAATTTTTTTAAAATAATTTATTATATTTTAATAGTAGTTTTAATTATAGTCAATATATTACTAAAATTTTAAAAAGAAAAACTTAAATAAATTTAATACCATATTAAAATTTAAATAATTTAGTAATTTTTAATTGTTTAAAATGTTAAATATAACCTTACAAATGACAATTTATATTCTTAACTATACAAATAATATAACATCATAATAGTAAAATTATAATTAAATGTGCATTAATTTTAAATATTGATGTTAATCTTAATTAATAGAATTCATAAGTTGCAAAATTTTAATTGATAATTGTATTTTCAAAAATAATTAATAATGAGTTATTTGATTTTTAAAAAACTAAAGTATTAATAGTGTTTTGTGTTCTTGTGAGTCTTAAGGTCAATTCATCAATACTTTCGTTTTATAAAAAGAAAAAAGAAATATAGTTTTGGTTCATTAATATTTAATCATCAATATATTAATTTTGAAAGAAAAAAAAAAACAAAGTTTTAGTTCATACAACATTTAATATATTTTTAAACCATTTTAATAGACGGGTTTTCAAAAGTTGCATTGATAAGAGAATTAAATAAATTATAAACGATTTAAATTGTGAAATATAATAATTAATTTAATAATCAGAATAAAAATAAATATTATAAAAAAATTATAAAATTTCATCATCTATTTTAACTTTTAATTTTATTTTCAATTATAAATCTAATGCATTAAATGACTATGATTAATATTAGCACAAATTTATCACTTTTAAAAATTATATATAAAATAATTAATATATTACCATAAATTTAAAATCTAATATATTTTTCTGTATTTTAATCCTTATCTCACTTTCTCTCGCATATGTTTCGTATTTTCATCTTACACAACAATTATAAACTTTATTGAAATTATGATTGTATAATATAAATTATATAACATAAAAATATTTTAATAAAATAAAATTTTAATGATATTATTTCTATGTCAACAGTGTTTGTAATTGTAGTTAATATATTATATAATATTAAAAAAAGAACATCACAATATAACTTTTCAGTAATATATTTGTTATTTCAAAAATTAATTTTAAATTTGCTATTGAAATATTATTATAGTAATGTAATTATTATGTAAACCATTAAAAATCAATAATAAAATATCAATAATATATTTGTTATTTTAAAAATTAATTTAAGTTTTTATTATTTCAAATGATTTACTTAATTATAATATTTTAATTCCTAATTTCTCTTTCTAGTTCCCGTTACAAAATAAATAAATAAAAATAATTTTTCTTTCCAATTCCAATAACAATGTTGAAAATAAATAAATAAAATTATATTTTTCTCTTATTTTTAATCAATTTTCAATTTTTTATTTAGACATTTTTTAAAAAATATTAGTTTTTTATTTTTTTTCCACCTTTTACTAATAACATAGCAAAATAATTATAAAAAAAAAAGGAAAAAAAACTATTTTGTTTAATTATTTAAAATTGTACTTTTGAAATATATTTTATTTAAGAGAAAAATGAATAGAATTGATTTAAATATATTAAGATTTAAAATCAAAATTAATTTAATTATTATTTTTTATTATTTTTTTTTATTTTAATTTGAATCTAATTTTTATTATAAATAATTAACAATTTTTGACAGTAAAAAAGAGCAGACGAAATATAATTTTGAGTCGATTCCCAAATTTGAGAAAGTTTTTTATGTTGTTATTAGATGTTGAATGAGTTGTATCCTGATTCTATACCTTGTTATTACAGTCTGGCAGAACCTTATCCCTCCCCCCACACACAAAATCCCATCTTCCTCACACCTCAATCAATCCCCTCAAATTAACTAAAAAGCTTAAATCATCAAACATGTTTACCTCATCTTCTATCCAATTCCACGCCCCAATCATTCATCATCGTCTATCCTCCACCACAACCCACTCATTCCTCCGCCCTCCTCCGCTCCTAAACCCCTCCCCTCCCTCCATTTTTACACTCCGCCCTCCTCCGCTCCTAAGCCCCTCCCCTCCCTCCATTTTCACAGTTTCCGCCAAGCCTCCAACTCCCGACAAAGCCAGCGAGCAGAAATGGGTCCACGAAGGTCTCATCACTGAATCCCTCCCCAACGGCATGTTCCGCGTCCTCCTCGACAACCAAGACCTTATCCTCGGCTATATCTCCGGAAAGATTCGAAAAAATTATGTGAGGATCCTTCCCGGAGATAGAGTTAGAGTTGAAGTCAGTCGCTATGACTCCTCCAAAGGACGCATAATTTACCGAATTCGAAGTACCCCCGGTGGTGCTGCTGGCAAAAGCTCTTAGTTTTTAGGTTTGTCAAAATCACTCTATCAAACTTCTGAGTTTTGAGTTTTGAGTTTTGAGTTTTCTTTCCATCCTAATTAGGTTTCTTTTTCTGAGTTTTGTTTCCATCCTAATTAGGTTTGTTTAAATTGAAGGATGAGGAAAGGGAAAGCTTTGTTTATTTGTTTTTTAATTTCCATATTTCTTGGATATAAACATTGTTGTTGTACAAAAACCAAAAACCAAAAACATGTTTTCTTCTCTCATTTTGCACTGCTTTTTTGTCTTGACTATATAAAATATTCAATTTCATTATGGAGTATTCACTTTCCATTACTGAAGTGAACACAGCTTTTATCTATTTTTATACAAAATGCAGAAATGCTACTTTCACCTTCCAAGGGACTCTGCTGCTAACTTCAGCTTTCGGTAAGAAAATTTCTTTTCCACTCTCATCAATCTTGTATGATATGATGCGTACTTATCTTCTACATAGCACTGCTACAAACACCAAATACGACACTCTTAGGTCATCACCGGTACTAGTTTGAAAATGTGCAAGTGTTGGATAATAGACATGTCTTCAGATTCATATAAAATTTATCTCGCTGTGTAGAAGGGGGATGGATATATCTGGTAGAATTTGTGTCACGTTGGCAGGTTTGATACATATGATACATAGCAGATGATGACTTCTTCCACCCATGAAAATCATTAGATTGATCTGCATAAGAGCAAATGCTTAATCTTCTGTTGCTTTTGTTTGAATAGGCATGAGATTGCACTTCCCGGTCGAACAAATCAACCAGAAGTGTCATAGGGAAGATTCTGCTTACTTTGAAGGATCTTCTTTCAAAGTTCTAACTTGCAGCCTCATCTTTGAGGACTTAAATGAATGTATTGAAATCTTTTGACTTAGTTCCCCTGCCAAACAATGTTTATTTGTTCCACTTGATGTTACTATTAGATATCTCTTTTTATTTTAGTATGATTGATACAAATGTAGAAGGTGGGGGCGATCTCTGTAAACTTTGATCATTGAAGAAACTGTTGGAACAAGCACAAAACTTGAGTGGTGAATCAATGGAGAAGATGAAATGAAGAATTAAGAGAGAGTAATTTGGTGATGAGGAAAATATTTATTAAAAAGTTACACAACATCACAAGAGAGTATTTATATGGGATACAAAACCAAGTGGAAACAAAACAGACTCAAATAAGCAAAGCCCAAAACACGGGCTGGAAATCCATATCTTTGGTTGTCTTGTTTGTATGACACACCTCTTAAGAAGATCCATATTCAAGCTATCTCCTTTCAAAAAGTTTATGTGTTGTAAAACGTAATGGAGATTGAGATAAAGTAGATTGGACAGCAAAGAGAAGAAAATAAAAGTTAAAACATGAAAAAGAGAAAGATAATAGAGAGAGGGTGAAGTGAAGGGAGATCGTTTGCCTTTTGTGAAAAACTTGAGAGTTCTTTAGTATTTTGAAAAATGAAGCAATGCGCATCAAAAGAGAAGGAAAAAAAGAAAGGAAGGAAGCCGTACTATCAAAGAATGGTATATTGTGTTATGACTTATCTTTAGGGTTTATCTCATTAACTAATATATTGGCTCTGGATTTATACAGCCCATTGTCATTATTCTAAAATCCATTATCATTTATTTTATTTTTCGTAGAATATTATTCATAGTCATACTCTTTGTATATTTTTTATTATACATATGCTTATTTTTATTTTTGATTAAATAATGTATAATATTTCATTTTGTTTTAGGACAAAATGTATACAGTCCCTTAACTACTAATTGTTGTTTCCCTATAAATATATCACACGTGTATTTTAAAGTTTTTGGTCAATCGCAAAACAAAATTAGTTTGATAATTAGAATAGAATTTTTTTTTTCAAATAATCACTTTTTTTAAAAAAAATTCTCAAATAACCACTTTTTCAAAAATTTTACTAAAATGACCACTTTTCAAACAAAAAAAATTCGCCACACAGATGAGTAGTCACTCTGTGTGACGCATGCACTCATTTTTAAGAGGAGGCGCCATACTGCATGGTCTGTCCTCCTCTGTAAAGTTGCAGTGTGGCGCATGCATGTATTCTAGAGAGGAGGTGTCACTCTCATTGGCTTGACAATGTTATTGCATTTTCTATAAATGCAACCACCCATCTTCTTCATTTTTTCACACCATTTGTTACATAAATCTTAGAGAATGTCTTCAACTCCCTTGCCAAAGTTTTCACTGATCAAAAGAGATGCGCATGTTATTTTTTCGACGACAAAGCCTCTGGTGAAGATCAAACTCTGGAACACGCAGACGTTCGAGCATTTTCAGTGGCACTTGATTCGCTGGTTGGAAGGAGACATTCTTGAAGGTGGACAAATCAGAAAAATAGAAAGGCACATCATAGTGAGGAACGAAAATGGAGTAAGTCGATCATAGAAAAAGGTGAGATGCGACGCTGATGTCATGATGATGATGCTTGGACCAGAGGATATTGTGTTAATGGTATTTATCTCTTAAATATTATGATTTATTTAGTTGTTTTGTCTGTTTATCATGTTGTTGTATTGTTGTCCTGAGTATGTGGTGTTGTAATTTTTTGTGTCATGATGTGAAAGTTGTTGTAATTGAATGATAAATTGAATACGAAATGATAACTCAAATTTAAATTGAAATATATTGCGTACAACAAATTAAACACTCCGGATAGTTTGCTATAAAAAAGTTAGGTTGCAGAGCTAGACCCAATATTCAGACAATTTTTTCGATTGTGTCCGGGAAGACGACATGTACTGCATAATCTTATCATTTTGTTAGCCGTATCCATTTCAGTTATAATACGAGTGCTTTTTGGACACCCCTTTTTCTTCCGTCGCATTTGTTCATTGTGCTAAACAATGTCCCCTTGATAAGCAGGCCAGTAATCCTCTTTTGCCAACACAGAGAAGGTCTTGATGTACACACTTAAAACGCTCTTTACCGTGTACACGGGAGATATATGTTGTATTGGGTCCAAGCGAACATGTGAACATGCCGCTATGACATGAGAGCAAGGCATGTGAAATGCTTGAAACTTTCCACAATCACACCAACCTCTATCTAGTTCGACACGATAATATCCCCTTGGCTTCCCCTCATTATAATTCATTGTCTCTTGTACACTGAACCAACCTTTAATACGGTCAAACACGGCGACACTATGGGTGTTTGCTTTCGTAGCCTCCTCTTTAAATGTTTTCATCGTGCATTCACTGAACAACTGCCCTGATTATAACACTGCCCTCCATTTTGAACTTCTTGTGTCAAACAATGATCCCATCCTGAAATATGTTGCTCTAACCAAAGCAGTAATTTGTAGGTTTCAGATGCCTTTGAATACAGTTCAATGATTCCACCAGATTTGTTGCCATGTGGCCCCATCGTTGACCATTGTCAAATGCCCGAGTCCACTTCTCCACTGGAATATTATCGATCCACCTTAATGCTTCTGAATTTTCCAATTGGATTTCTTCGCGATAGTATCAGAATGACGGTTCTGTTAAGGCATACTATGCATTAATAACTTTCTTTCGAAGTGTCTTGTCTTTGATATGGAGCATGAAGTTTTGTGTGGTATGTCTAATGCAATAGACATGTGTTGAAGAGGGATCCTGCCAACCGTTATCAGGGTTATTGTATGCACTCATAATCGATGAATGTCTGTCTGAAATCAAACAAAGGTTGGGTTGAGGAGCAACGTGTAATCGGAGATTCTTCAGAAAGAAATTCCATGCACCACCTGTCTAAACTTCAACTAGAGCAAAGGCAACCGGAAAAACATTATTGTTTCCATCTTGTGCCACTGCCATGAGTAATGTTCCTTTATACTTCCCGTATAACCAAGTTCCATCAATCTGTATAATAGGTTTGCAAAATGCAAAACCCTTGATGCATGGTTCAAACGTCCAGAATAATCGATGAAATATTCCATTTCCGCAAACACGAGTTTTGTCTAGGGTAAAATTTGGAAGTGTCTCCAAAATTATAGCAGTTCTCGGAGCATAATATTTGAGTGCCACCAAAAATCTTGGAAGTTCTTTGTACGATTCCTCCCAATTACCGTACACAAGTTCAACTGTCTTAGTCCTCCCGATCCATGCCTTCCTGTAAGAGGGAGTATAATTGAATCTCGAAGTGATAAGAGAAATAATTGTACTCACCTTTAATGATGGGTCTTTGCTAATAAGAGGCAAGATTTCTTGACATATTAGTTGAGAACTAAGTTTTCGTTGATCCTGTATCGGAACAGTGGTGATGCAAGTGTGGAGTGGATCAATGGAACCTATTTCTCATGAATCACTTCTCTTCCTGTAAGATGCAATTAACCGAAAAGGGAAAATTGGTTTTTGACAACATAAAATAACGTACCTCCCTGAATTATTTTTATCTACAGTGAAGTCATCTAAAATTTCCATGTGGTATTTTTTGATAGCTCTAAGACACTCTTCTTTTGTTCGAAATTTGTCTCCAACTTTCAAGGCCCCTTCGGTCTGCATATAAGGGTTGTGAAAGATATCTGAGGCTGGTTCATCTTCTCCCAAGTTCAAGTTCGTCATGTGAAACGGAGGGTCGTACGCATGACTTGCAGGTATAGGTCCATGCTCTTGATCTGTAACGTCATCATTGACCATAAAATCAATCATTGCCTCATCATCTTCTTCTTCTTGGTCAATAATATCGACTTCAGGATGGTTGTCCTCGTCAGATTCATCCTCTTCTTCAAAGTCTTGAGAAGGATCTACCACCTGAGATTGATCTGGTTGTTGTAATAAAACATACATCTCAATCTCATCGAACCCGGATTGTTCATGAGTTCGAAACATGTTTCGAACATCATCATCGTCGCACACCTTAAGTTGATAAAATTTGACTTTGTTGTTGTCAAATAGAAATGGGGACTTGTAAAGAATTTGATAAAATATTTTTAGTTACTTTTATTTTATTTAAAAAAATTGCAATAACACTGTCAAGCCAAAGAGGGTGGCGCCTTCTCTTTAGAATACATGCATGAGCCACACTGCTTGACTTTACAGAGGAGGACAAGCCATGTAGTGTGGCGCCTCCTCTTAAAAATGAATGCATGCACCACACAGAGTGGCTACTCCTCTGTGTGGCGAATTTTTTTTGTTTGAAAAGTGGTCATTTTGATAAAAAAATTTAAAAAGTGGTTATTTAAGAATTTTTTTAAAAAAAATTTATTTGAAAAAAAAAATCATTAGAATACTTAATTCTTATAATTATAAACAACAAGAAATTATAAGTTTATAATATGTATGATATATATTTTATTTTTCTATTTTAAAATTATAATATATTACTTATAATTATAATATACTATAACATATTATAACATAATTAATGATATTAAAATTTAAATTTATAATAAATTAAAGAAATTAATTTGTACTATTTTTATATTAATTTATCATTTTATTTATAGATTTTTAAATAAAATATTTCGTTTACTTACTATTATTATTTTTTTTACTTTTAATAAAAAGAGAAGCTTTGTCATGATCAACTTGAATGATTTTTAATTTACATTTGAAATAGTATTTAATTTTAAAAAAATAATTTCAATGTAGTTATATCACTAATTGAATTTTTATAACAAAGAAAAATAATTTCAAATTATTTTTTAATTTAAGATAAAATATTTTTTTATAAAAATAGAAATAATTTGTTAGTTTAAAATCTTAATTTTTCAATTAAAATAAATTAAAAAAATAAACCTGAAAATGAATGTCATTGAACAAAATACAAA